TGTGCCACATGGTTCCCATGCCAAGAGCTCTGCACATATTTTTGTCCATCCCCAACCACAAACCTTCTTCCAGATAAGCATGATTAAGGGGTCGGGGAAAAACCTCTCGGTTCACTGTCACATCACTATGGGTCAGGTTTGTCCCGGAATCACATTAGAAAAGAAGATATAACGAAGCTGTATTCCTACAGCCAGTTGAGGGAAGCTCTCAGCAGAGCAGAAGGAGCAGCTTTTTAATTCAGATGGCTTTTCATTCCTTGTGTTCACCAGAATCAATAAGATTTGGCCATTGAGGCCCAGGCATCAGCTGATGTTATGCCAGATGTGAAATACAGTTATTACACTCAGAGACCCAAAATCATGGTAATCGTTGTTCACCAAGTTGATTAGGAGTTCCTTTTCTCAACTGCTAAGATATAAGGAGGAAAAATATCTTAAGTATTTTTAAAAACTCTTCCATACTCAGCAAGCCACATTCCTTAGGAAGTTATGTAAAGAGCCTGCTCCACTAACAAATTTAAACCCCACAAAATTTTCTCAGTGTTGAATGAAAAAGAGGGTATGAGCATTTGACTTTTTTATGATATTGTAATACAATGATTTCTAAGATATGATGAACATTTTGATGAGCAAAACTGTATTGTTCTGTTCTACATGACTAGTTGCAATGGGTAAAATAAAGTCAAAATTCCCCACAGAAAGAAAGGCCAGTGCTGGCACCAATGTAAACTACTATAGAAACACTGAAATTCAACATCAGGTGATACCTGAAATCTGTACTCCCCTCACATAAATGTCATATGATGATTAGCAATTTTATTACACTACAGGTATTACTTAATTTCATTAATGATCAGTATTAACTGCTGCCAGTTTCTCTCTAGGACTCACTTCTACGTTTTAAGTGAAAGTTACTTACCTCAAGGTCATCCAGAGAACGAGTAATACTAAATCGCTTAGATCTTCCAAATGATCTTCGAACAGAAGAACGTGGGGGAGGAGCCTGATTTAATCCCATTGAGCGTCCAAATTTTGCACCCTAAACAAAACAGAAAATATGCATTAGTATTTTACTTCTTGAATTTTAGTACATTGCTGATCATAGTGACAGCATCTGGATTTTAAGCATTGGTAGGTACAGAATTCCAAGGAGATGGACTTGTGAACCTGTAACAGGACCACAATTTCAACACAAGGTGGTCACTTGCTATGCCCCTGTAAAATCATGTATTAAAATCATTAGTTATGACTTTGCCATTCTCAAGTCGAAAATCATAAATATTCAACATTAAGTTACTGTATAAGCACGAGGCATCAGTTAGGCTGCTGAAGTGTACACATGCTACTTGTCAGTATTAGTGGGCAGAGCTTAATTAAAAGCAAGACAATCCCAGCTCTTTACTGTCTTAACTGCAAAATATTTGCAATGACAAAATATTTGTTCTTTCTATAGGAAGTTACCATCCCAGAAATCATCTCACACAGCTTCAGCTGGAATCTTTCTTGGCACTTTTAAAAATCTTACTTTCACCAGTCTTCTTTTTCTAAAGGCTTGCTACTGTGAAGTCCAACTTTTTAAATCACAGAGTACAGAATGCTGGAACTTTTGTTCTGAGGAAAGAAACCACCTCACTTGGATGTTCCCTATCTAGAATTGGTGTTGCAATAATTAAATCTAATGGCTTTCTTTTTTTCCCCCATAATCATATTTTTTCTCATTATACAGTCACCAGATGTCAGTTAAGCTACAACACCTCAGCATGTACATATCTAGTTTATGCCAAATGGCAAAGTGTAAGCTTAAACCTAAGAGTAGGCACACAGTCAGTGACTGGTGCTAAGCAGATGTACATAAACTCACTACATTATGAAAACTTGTGATTATGTGCCTGAAATTTTGGATTTCCTTCACTGTAACATTCAATGTGGGGAAAATTCCTCCCTGTCTTCTGATGTTTTTTCACTTTAGAAAATAACGGAGTTTAATGCAGAGTAGATTTTCTTCTATTTCATTTCAGCATATTTCTTCACCACAGTAAGCTTGTAAAATATATCTGACTAGTACTTTTGCAATTGCTTATTGGCAGCTTTGTAGTATTTATTAAATTTTATATTTTTATTTGTTTCTTCCTTTGGGCAAGCTGCTGTGCTCTCAATTCTGAAATATTTTGCTATCCCTCTGATCTCTTGTTTTAAAGTCTACATACATCACATTAACCAAAGGAACAATCATAAATCTCACATTCTTATAATCTCATGCTAACAACTGTTCATACAAAATAGAGAAAAGCATCGAGAATATTATACAGCCACCTTACTGCAATAAAAGACAAGGTATCCATCAGAAGATGTCTGCCTGTTTGCTTATTCCTGTAGAGTCAACACTATTCTTTAGCAACAGGGCTCCGACTGCCACCAGTATTCACGACAGATTCTGTTTACATGCTCACAGAAAAGTCAAGACATAACACAGCACACAGGAATCGGGATCCAAGGAATGTAGCAGAGTTCACGAATCCAACAGGCTGAGACTCCAACTTCTTCATTCCATATTAGAAGTCATCCATTTTTTACACGACATCTCCTTCCCTCCCAATTAGAAATTTACTAAGTTTGGGGTTTTATTGGCTGAGAAGAAAATTGGGCAGGTTCTGCCACGGAACACTGAAAATCTAGCATCTGGAGATCAGACTCTGAGGTTTTTAAGAGAACATTTAAAAGTGCAGTATAAAGAAGCTAAGATGGCTTTTGCTAAAATAATCAACTAAATGTGAAGACAGGAAAGTTGGTTTCTGTAAATGTTCACAGAGAACATGCACTGGAATGAGGACAGATCTTGTCTTTCTAAGCAATTTTTAAAATCATCTGTTCATCAAGGCAGGTACCACTGAGACGGTCCACACTTGGCTCAGACCTTACAGTCACTGCCTAAACTGAAAGCTTATAACTAATGCAGTAATCTGGGTCCAAGAGTGAACTCCACATTAAGCCCTGACTAAGTTCAGCACTATCCATCACTACTGCTGCGTACCATAGCCAGACACTAACATGGCTCCTCCGGTATGAGTGAGTTCCTGAGAAAATGCCATGAATATATGTGTACAACTACTATGTTTCACCATTAGTCCAGTGAGTCCAGTTTTGCAATTCTTAAATTTTTCATCTGTAAATTAGTGAAAAATCTATCAGACTACAAACAGCTCAGCAAATCCTAAAACTAATGAAATTAATGACATCGTTAGTGCAAGTACCACGGGTATTTTGAAACTAATAAAATAGTTACACATTATGGAGTCTGCTTAATGGTCTTTCATGTATCTTTTGTAGAAGAAAACTAGTAAAAGGAAACAAAGGAAAAAAAATTGTCATTAACAGTCATATCTATTTTGAATAGCAAATATATTTTCGCTTTTCTTTCTAATTCAGCCCAAAAAGAACATAAACTGTCTAGTATATGCTTAAATAGTGGAGGTTGCCATATACAATTCTGGGAGATTAAGACATACAACTCGAGAACACACACTCAAAAAATTTTGAAAGAGTAACTGAGAAGCAGATTCCAGATAAGATTCATTATCAGCAGATGCCCCATTTTAGAATTAAATGCTGCTTACCTGTTTGTGGTCAGAAACATAACAAAGAGAAAGGAGAGTGGACAAAAACCACTTGCAAATTGTGTGGCAGTAGAAAAGAGGACAGTAAATTAGTATCCAAGCAAAATTTTTATTTACAGGTTTTGATATTCTTATACAAAACTCACTACTGAGCCCTGGACAGAATAGCAAAGATAAAAGCATGCAAAAAAATAAGGCAGTGCTTAAGAAATAATTAGAAAATACAAAAATTAACTGAGCTAGCCAGTCCCTCAACCCATTTGGATGATCATTGCAATCAGGAAAATGTTTTAAGCTGACAGAAATCTCTTCCTTGCTCTGAAGAATCAAACTAATAATCTAGGAAATTAGGCAAGACATTGCTAAGAAGAAAACTGCCGTTCACAAAGTATTTAATTTCCTGATAATGGTGCTAAGAAGTCTCCCTTTTCATCTTTTCTTGACTCTATTCCAGACATTCAGACTATGAAGGCAAACCTTCTGCAGATCCATTTAAAAAACTGTCTTGCATAGACACACATGCACAAAGAAAGAATCACGTAGTTTAAGCAAATAGCAGAAACATTTTGCCAAATGTTTTTCAGATTCTGAAGAGCTGGAAGTAAAATCATCCATGACTTCAACAGAGAATAGCCACTGCAACTAGAATATCCTAATCAGCATGGCTACAGAAATCCACAGTATTTGAGCAGAGAAAGATTGCTAATGCAATTACTGATACTAGCTTAAATTTTACAGTCTTCTAGCCACAAATTATCATGCTTCTAAAAGCCCTTATTACACTAATAAACTGATATTAAAAACATTAAATAAACCGAAACAAATTTCAAACCAGTACACTGTATGACCAACAAAATGCTGTTTCATTCACTGTTAGCTGCCAAACTAAAACACTGAAATCTGCTACATGAACACTGGGCTGTGCAGTTCTTTTAAATACAGAGTGCCTATAAGCTCTAGAACTATTTACCATCATATCTTAAATAGTCTCTTCCAGAAACATTGTGTTGAAAAGAAAATTCTACCAATATCTAAATATTCAAGAAATCCTATCACAGAACAGTACTAGAACCTAAACTCCATCTGACACTTCACTAATTGTCTTCATTTTAGGAATCCAGAAACAAACAGAAAAGCACAGAAATTTTTGAAAACAAGTTGATTAATGTCCTACTGCAATACATTATCTGCATTCTGCAATACAGATACTTACAACCCTGCTAATATAATCTATCATGGTGAAAGTACAAAAGAACATACCTCTAAAAGCCTTTATCCTGTTAACGATTTGGCAGATGGAGAGGAAAAACAACAAAGGATTAAAGGAATTAACACACTGATGGTCTAAAAAATCCATTCCTTTTTCTATTCTTATAACAAAGCAAAAATTAGGAACTAGCATGGACTGAAACACCAGTTACATGTATAGTCATAAAAGAAAACACAGAACAATTAATGAGTCTGTGTTTTGGTTCTTTTTTTTTACATATATGACCCCTTTTCCTTAGGCTAACAGAAAATGGCAAGTGTAAATACATTTCCCTGAAATAACCACCAATCACTGACGAAAACATAGTCTCTCCTTCCCTTCAGATACAATTTTTAAGCTGTTTATTTAGATTTGTGGATGAGCTACCTCCTGGCCTACTTGACAAGAAAAGCATTAAAAACAGAAGTCACCAGAAGAGGATTGATACAGCAGCAGTTTTTGAATGTCCCCAAGTGAGAACAGTTTCTGTCTCATACCAAGCAAGCTGTACAAGAAAAGTACAAATGAGAAAGTGGAAAACGTTGTACTTCATGTATTAGCAAGACAGATGGAGTGAAGAAGCACATGACATGTTAAGACTGCAAACATAGGGACAGAAAGAACAAAAATGATCCAATACAAGGCAACTTGCACAAATCTTTTTCGAAAGAAAGAAAGAAAAAGGATGGGCAGTAGTTCTACATAACATTATTCAGCAGCTGTGCTAGCTTAAGGACTTTGCAGGTACCTCTGAGCACTGACACCAGCTCCTAAACTGCAGCAGGCTGCCAGCCCCCTCATCACCACTAACAATAGTTTACAAAATTAAATAATCCTGTTCCTAACACAGATCTACAGACAGTCATGCCAACACAGCTGATGATGCTCACTGCCAACTCAGTCCCAAGTGTGACAGGAACTCTTTGGGTTGGTAGAAAAGCAATGTGACACCACGACAGTCAATATGATACTCTAACCTGGAGTCTGAGCGCACAGAAGCAAGTTGATGAAACCTTATCAATTATTCAGAAACCAAAGAAAACAAACACCTTTAGAAAACATCTTCAATTAGCTTAAAGAAATTCCCAGCTATAGAATGAGTTGCATCTTGCTCTTCCTTATTCTAGTAAATACACTGATTATTATAACTTTTGAACAAATTGTCGTAGCTAACAA